TGATCAAATTGGATTTCACAATAAATTTTACAAGATAAATTATTGACCGATACACTTGCTATCGAGCTCCTTACAGTTTTTCAATTTTGATTTTGATCTTCACCATTTGATAATGGTATATACTTTTAATGACGTATCTAGCATTCATTGTGTCATAGAAATTTTCATTTTTAACACGAACTTTCCATCCCAAGGCAATGTTTAAACCATTCGACAACAACATCCTAGCTACATATTATTATATCCATGTTAACTGTTAAGAGTACGAATCAAGCCATCTACATATCTACGAAACTATATGCAATACCATAGCACTTTTTTGTTTTGTTGAAAATCACTGCTCTTTTTCAAGGGATTTTCTCTTAATTTAATCTAAAATAATTAGTTAATCGATATGAAATGGCATACAGAGAAAAGACAGAAAACCTAACAGCACTTTACAGTGAGTCGTTCCTATACACGTAACATTTATTAAATAATTCAAATTATTTTATTTCTCATGCAAAACATTATACAATAATATTTCAATGTTATATGCAATGTAATACATGTATAAGTATATTACGAGAAATATACAATGAAACGAAACAGATATAATAGTAATGACACAAAAAAGAGGAGCTAAATAGAAGCAGAGCTTGTCGAAGTATTAGTGTCTCCTCGATCAGAAGCTGTTTTACAATACGTCTTGAAAACAAAGTATACATAGAAAATATTTCGAATGACAATGTTGGACGTCATTAGAAAGTGCATTACATTTAACTGTCTGTTTTTTTTACAGTTTTTTCCTTGTTCAAGGCATGATTTAAGAGATGCAATGGTTAGAAAAGCCAAATACCCATCACGCTTTCGTAAAACCTGAAAATAATTGAGCGAAATTGCTTGGCACAGTTAATGCTAAATTACATTTGCAATTTATTACCTTTTCGGACATATGCCTTGCTTGTATACACACGTGCGCTAAGATTAGTACGATTGTCAGCGCTTGCTCCTGCGTCAATTATTCCGCGTCAATTGTTTTACGTCAATCACCTACACCAGCAAAATCCCCCTCCAACCCCTTACCCACAATATACATAACCCTAACCCTAACATAACCTATGACTTGAATTCGTCTCTATAAACCTAACCATTACTCTACAGTTTGGGCGAAATAAGACGCGGAGCACTTGAGCCATGCGACAATATTGCTCCGCGTCAATTTCTAAGCCATATCAACCAAACTGTCCCTTCAACCCTCCATCCAAGAAAGTACATTAAACCCTAACCCTTTACCTAACCTTTGACCTGATGGTATTCCTAACCCTAACCTAACCTAGTTTCGGCGAAATACAATGCGGAGCGATTGTCTTAAGATCAAAGGTCGGGTCACTGTCCTTTCTCCCCTTTAGCTGCAACATCTTAAGCCTATGATTGTTACGAAATATTTAAGTCGCAGTCACGTGATGAAGGAAAGAAATGGCGCGACTTACCGTTCAGAAAACCAGACAAGCCGTAACACCTAATCTCGAGCACAGTCCGACGGAAATATATAGCCTAATGAAGTAGGCTCTCGACCGTCGCGTTTCAGTAATCTGGTGAGAGTGGAACATTGTGTTGGTAAATAGAAACCAGGCATAAATCTTGCTCTCGTCAACGAACGCAGACGATATCCGATTTCAATGTCATTGGCATATTGTGCTATCATGGTAGAGGGCGCAAATCTGTTTTTAATTTCTTCAATGTTAAGTTCTCTCTGCATAATGCTTTGGTTTTTCAGAGGGCGATCTAAGATTATGTCGGTAAAATAGAAACCAGGCATAAATTTTGCTCTCGTCAACGAACGCAGACGATATCCGATGTCAATGTCATTGGCATTGTGCTTTGATAGAGGGCGTGAATATATTTTCAATTTTTTCCATGTTAAGTTGTCTTGGCATTTATTATGGGTTTTTCAGAGGGCGATCTGAGATTTTGTTAGATTCCCGTAAGAGAAGAAGTTACGGTATTGAATCATTCTCCTCCACATCGTCATCATCATCTTCATTATTATTGTCTTTCTTCTCTTCATCAACACAATAATCACCATTACATCTTCATCATCATCAGCGTATTTGTAATCTTCGTCATCATAAAAATATAATAAGCATTTTAATGTTCATCATCATCTCCCTAATCATTGTATCAGTATCATCGTCATCATATTCCTCATCTTCATTATTATCGTATCATTTCCATCAAATTCATCTTCATCATCATCGTCACCACTCACCACCGTCCTGATCCTCCACCTCCCCATCTTCGTCCTCATCATCTTTGTCATCACCTTCCTCAGAATCGTTATTATCCTTCTGTACATCACCATCTTCATCATCAAAATCATTATTAACCTCCTCATCATTTCTTCATCATTACCATGATTATCCTTACCTCTTTTTCTACGAAAAGCATTCTCTCCGAGTGTTTCACCTCAGTTGCAAAACTTATTTTCCTCATTCTATCGCCTCCAAATATCTCTCTCACTTGTTCTCTCCCTTTCTCGCTCTCTTCCTTATTTTCTTTCTCTCTCTTTCTCTGCCAGCCTATTTCTGTCATTAATAATATTTTTTGCCACATAGGCTTCAAATACACGTTGACAAATGCAATTAAGTCACAGTATCAAACATTTCCTTTTTTCTCAATCAAGATATTTAAGCCAAGATGAGCTCAAAATTTAATCATATTTTCACTGGTACCAGCAATGATGAGTATAATATTGTGCACATATGTGTATAAATATAATCAGAAAAATACTTGACTCTGGATCAATGCAAGCAAATATAATCTCGGACAACACTGGCAAGAGGGCGGGCTTTAGGTTCGTTGGACACAGGGCGTCATTTTTTGTTGCTGAAATAGATATTACACTTCACAATTTCCTTGTGTGAATGATATATACGTCATTTAACAATGGCAAGAGAAAGAGATTGAAAGAGAGAGGGAGAGATAGAGAGAAAGAGAGAGAAAAAGAGAGAGATAGAGAGATAAATAGAGAGAGTGACATAGACAAAGAGAGAGATAGACACTGACATAGACAGAGAGAGTAAAAGAGAGAGGGAGAGATAGAGAGAAAGAGAGAGAGAGAGAGAAAAAAAAGAGAGAAAAAACGAAAAAGAGAGATACAGAGAGAGAGAGAGAGAGAGAAATAGAGAGAGGGAGAGAAATAGAGAGACAGAAGCACAATGATTGCAGCAATAAAACAAGAAAAACAGAAATACATCTATATGAATCATTTAGGAAGCTGCAATATCAATTTTCATAATACTTAGTAATGCAAGCTAGGAACAAATAATGAAGAAGTATGTGGAAGGTAAACGGAAGATCAAATAAAATACTGTCAAGTAACCTTAGTTTTCAAAACAATGATGGCAGTAGTACAGCTTGATTCTACATTGAACTAAACATTCAACAATAAATACATTCATTGGCAAGTTGGGCCGATGCCAGCATATAACTTCCAGTAAAAAAATATTTATATATCATATTGACTGGGCTTGAGGGTTATATCAGAAATATTGACCAAGCTAAGATCATAGTGCCCCGAGTCAAAGACGAGGGCAATATCGTCTTAGCGCGGTTAATATTTCGGATGTACCCCGAAAGAAGCCCTGTCATCCGAAACAGTCCGTTGAGAGCTAGTATGATGTTCATTTGTTTACATTAATATGCGTAACCACCCTTTTGGCAGCAAACATATGAACATATAGATGCAATTGTGATCACATATGAAGAGAAAATATAAACAATGATAAATGATTCTCTTAAAATACTTGTTTACAAATTTATTTCAATTCATGCATGTTTTTCTCCCTTACCCTCGGGTTAATATAATAACTACATTTTAAAATTTACCTGTTAATTATGTAAGCATTATGATATTTCTAGGGATGGAATTCATTTTGCTTTCATTATTTGTTGCTATGTGGGGACAAGGCTATGATAAGCTTTTTAATCGTCAATTTAAAATTTTGTTCAAAAAGCATGCACAAAATGAGTAAACACATCTATTGCTTGATATCGACCTCAAAGTATGCCCTCTTGTGTTAAATACATGTACAATGAAAACAGAATATTTTCCAGTTCTAGACATATGGGCCGAATTCACAAAGGAGGTTTGTTGACAAACCTAGGTTTATGTGCGTCATATGAAACACATCGAAACGCATGCCAGACCATGTCAAACACATTGCCTACCAGAGCCACATGGTTCAGTATTAAAGCCTATGGCAAGAACAGAATGTCAGAAGTCAATGGGTTTTAATCAATCAAGTACGAGATCGATTTTAATTTAGCCATTTATAAAAAGAAAAATGAAATGAGTACTGTTCAATGGACAAAGACAAGTTAACATACACATAATAATATCTGATACATAAACACTGATAGATATTTTCAGGCATGCACATTCAATAAAACAAGTTTAACATGTTGAAAATCTGAAGTAGGCGGTACAACAGGTCCGAATCCAAGACCCTTTTTAGAGCTACGTACGCCGTTTTAAATCGATTAAAAACACATCATGCTAATGCTGATTGTATTGCAAAAATATTCTTAATTCCTGCAGCAATTTTGATACATTTTTTATGAATAAATAACCCAGCATGGATGTCTCTAACAAGTGTACATTGCCAAAAATGTACAAGTAGATAAGAAGTTTTTACAAGAACATTTGGAAATTTTCAGTGTTTTTATTTTCTCACTTATCTGATATATTCTGATGTACTTTAAATACAGTTCAAAAGCTGAATTTTGTTTGTGTTTAGTGGTCAATAATTTTCTTTTATAACTGTGCATCAATCAACATGATGGATAATTATTATTTTGTCATCACCAAAAAGTATCCATTTTTGTTCTTGGTAAATACATCTGAGCCTTCATTTTACAAATATCCAGGTTGAAAAGTACATTGGACAAATAAATACATTGAATTGAAAATCTATATTTACTGGAAGATGAATAACTTTGAACTGAATTACAGGGGTACGTAATACTGATAATACCATAATGTAAGCTCGTGCAGAAAACCAATTTCCACTACATTTAAGAAAGACAAATTACAGTCGGACCAAAATGGCGACGGTATATGGTCGTAGTTACATGTCACAACAATTAAAAAAAGTCAATAACATTTAAGACATGCATATAATTGGTGGCGAAATAATACTGGACATTAAACAGAGCCAGCAAAATAATCTTTTAAGAATGAAAGTATCACCAAATTCAGACTCCTTCTTGATTTTCATGTAACCGATTTAAAACAATTTCAGCCTTGTATATTTAACAGATATTATCCAAATAGTTGATTTGCCATTCATATGTAATAGTTTCATTTTAATAATCCAAAAATGACTATGAAAGTGCTTTGCAATATGTATACAGCCGTGGAGTAAAAAATATATGAATCTGTCTTTCTGCAAAGCACCTAATGATGTCAAATTTAATAGTTAAATCATCTGAAAAAAAATAAATCAATAACTTGCTTCTAAACGGTACTCTCTTTTGGTCCGATATGTCTAGTCTCGTATGCTCCGAATATTTGCAGCATCGGTTCTTGTTTATCCTTCCCACAATCCTCTATATTTTGGTTTAGGATGCGTTGAGAGTGGACGGGGGACAGATGTTCAATGGTTATGCTTGGGATGGGGCCCAGATGGGACTGATGCCCGTTGTGCGAGTTCCCCTTCTCTGGACTGTCCGACTGGCTTGTCCAGTTTATGTCCTCATCGTTAGTTTCCGCGACAATATCTACACCAAGTTCCTCGTCAAGATCAACATCGACACTGTCTCTGGTGCAAAAGCTTGTGACGAATCGACTCGTTTCGTCTTCGTGGTCTTTGAGGTGAGGATCAACAGACGTCCTACGTGGAGTGGAATCCATAAGCTGGCACATTTCAGCTTCCTCCACCGTGCTACGACGTGAGAAAGACAGCTTCGGTGTCGCCGCAGTTCTCGCTGGACTCTCACAAAAAGCAGTATGGTAGCTCGAGGCATCGTTGAAATTGTCCGCATTATCGTTGTTCTCGTTCCTGTTGGGACTATTGAAGAATTCGTGGTTCTCCATCGGGGATGTGGCGGGGCTAACTTCCTGGCTCCGCTCGATCAAGTCATCCAGCCGCCTCTGCTTGCTGACATCAACCGAAGCTTTTCTCTTCGCGTGATTCTGAAGGTTGTCCCTGTCATAGTTCGCGACTGTCATCGACACATCCTTTCCCCGCTCTGACCGCTTCAAGAAAGGAATCCCAAGTTTCCTACGCAGCGAGAACCTTGTCCAGCCAGTCTGGACCTTTTTGGGCGAGCAAGGTTTGCCGTTACCAAGTTTATCAATCAGGGGCGACCCTGAGCCTCTCCTTGACTGATCCTGATCCGTGATGCTCATTTCAGGGGACAGCATGTTGGCGAAGGAGTCTGCACTTAGCTGATACTGAAACGATGGTCTAGGAGCTACAGAGTGCCCTGGTATTGATGTCGATGTCTCCAGGATCTCATTGGTGGTGTTCCGATCTCCACCAACAACTCCATTGTAATCCCCCAGAATGCCTTCCTGGCTTACAGACGATTGCTGGAACGGGGTTCGAACAGTCTGCATGGTGTTACTAGCCTGGAGCTGACGACCGATGCTAATGGTCGCCGCTGATCGTAGCGATCGTCTGCGTAGGACTGTATGCGTTGCGACTCTCCTCCAGATTGTCCTGCAGTCTTTCTTAAACTGCTTTGTCAGGAGAGTGTAGAGGAAAGGGTTGGCGCAAGAATTTACGGGGAGTACAAAGACGATGAGGACTTTGGATCCTGCCAGCGGGATCAAATCCTTACCAAAGGCAGATGCTAAAGCGAATATGGCAAATGGTGCCCAACATATAAAGTCGGTGAAGACCAGGAGCGACATTCTACGAGCCACCCGAGAGTCGTTGGAATTCCAAGCGTGCGAACCTTGGATTGAGCAATAGATGCTGGTGTAACAAAGCATGATGATCACAAAGGCCAGTCCATTTGAGATCATGATTGTCGCGACGTAAATGAGCGATTTGGTGTCGTCGACCTTCACCGGTAGGCAAACAGCGTATCGGTAGTGATTGATGCCGTATTTCAAGAGCGGTAACGTCGCGATGGTGATGGCGAAAATCCAACCAATAGCCATGATGATGACTGCTCGTCGCAGCTTCAGCCTCTTCTCTAGATGCATGGCGTGCTTGATGGCATAGAACCTCTCGAGGGTGATGGTCGTTAGGGTGTATATCGAGAGCTCGGAGGAGAACACGGCAAGGAACCCGGCCACCCTGCAACCATTCCCCAGCTGCCACTGGACAGCCGTCTGACGAAAGACGCCGAGGCTCGCTGCGTCTTTGCTGGCCAGGATGGTGAGGTACAACCCCATGGCGAAGTCAGCGCTGGCAAGATTGCAGATGAGGAACCGAGGGACGTCCATCTTGGAGTGGGAGAGGAAGATGACGAAGATGACGGTGGCGTTACCGATGATCGCTAGGAGGAAGACGAACCAGACGCTGACGCGTAGGAACCAGGAACCAAAGAGATCATGGCAGGGTAGAAAAGGACCTGTATTGAAGATAAAGCATTACAAAGAATCACATTCAACAGCAAAGTTTGAAAATGATACTTATTTTAGTGAAAGGTAATGGTATGTTAAGATGGACTCCAGGATACATTAATGTGAAATATCATTTTTGTTTGCAAAGAGGTAGAACTATCCTCCAGGGCTCTGGAGTGTCTCTCACCAAGGGTGTGAAGTGGAGAAAATAACAATGTGCCCCTATTTTCTTATATTCATTACACTCTTTTTTTGAAATAGCAAGGGCTGCAGCCATTTCCCCTCCCAATCCACTGCAGCTCAGCAATAAAACAAGATTAGATGGGGGACAATAAATTCCTTGACGTTACTTTTGATTTCAGAAACCCTTCTTACCCTCCAGAGCCCCTGTAAATTAAGGTAGGGGGAGGTTGAGCCAAAATAACATGCCCCAAATATTTGTTTTGGTGTGTGAGAATAGGAAGGTCTGCAGCCATTTTGCCCCCCCCCCTTCGATCTCTGAGGTGTTCCACAAAGACTAGGATGTCAAGGGACATCACAAATCTACAGAATTTAATTTTTGTGTATACATTGTTGAAGAACAAAAGTTACTTACATTGTAAACTTAAGTTATATTTAAGACCTTTGTTCTTCAACAATGGTGAGAGCAAACAGCGGCATGAATGGCCTGCTATAGTTAAGTCCAACATAAAGTCGATCTTAGTCTTTGTGAAACACTCCTCTCGTTAATCAACCTACCCGGTAGCGGTTTGCAGGAGATGTTATAGCTTGGTTGAATGAAGGCCGCACTGCCGGTATCAGCCATGTAGTAACTATCTGGTACGTCTAGACTGGATTGCCAGTAATCTGAGTTATCGTAGTGGGAGCTGCGTCGGACAGAGGGGGTCTCCATCATGGCGATACTAGAGAACCAGCTGCCGTTGTCGTAATCTGACAGGGAAAAGATTGAATTGATTTAGTCTACGTGATGTTTAATAAGTTATGGATTTCTACCATCAGCTAATAAGAAGAGCCTCCAAGATGAGTTTGTTAACCTTGGGAGATCCAAGGCATTAGCTATAGTTTATTTTGTTTTTCTTTATTCTTGCGTTAATAGAAATAAATACAAAAATAAAATTGAATTCAATATTTGTTAGAAATAAGTGCTATCACGCATCCAAAAAATGTTTATCTGTGAAAGTTTTTCAATGTATGGTTTCTCACTCAGACTTGTACTGCAAGCTAGCTACCATTTTTTCTAATTGCTGAAAAATGCTGTCTTGGTGGTCACTGCGTCATAACTATCAGACAACTGGTATGCAGCCCTTGTCTCCATGTATGTTGTTGGGTGTTGAAAAATGTCACAGTTACACATATTTTTGTGATATGTCATGATAATTATTTATTTCCTTCAATGTCTATGTGAAACCATCCCGATGAAATTGTACAGTATAATAAATATCTCTTTGTGGGAGAGAAATATACCAAGTGTGTGTTTACGTATGTCATAATTATTTCTCTCTTTCTCTCTCATACACGTACTCTCTTTCCTAACCTCTTTCTTTCTCACACACACCCACACACACTCAATCTCTTGTTCTCTTCCCCTCTATCCTAACCTCTTTCTTTCTCACACACACCCACACACACTCAATCTCTTGTTCTCTTCCCCTCTATCCTAACCTCTTTCTTTCTCACACACACCCACACACACTCAATCTCTTGTTCTCTTCCCCTCTATCCTAACCTCTTTCTTTCTCACACACACCCACACACACTCAATCTCTTGTTCTCTTCCCCTCTATCTTTCACACATTTAAAATCTCTCTTTCTATTCCTCTCTCTCTCTCTATCTTCCTACCTCTATCTCTCTCTCTATACCCCCCTCTCTCTCTCTCTCTCTTCCTATCTCCATCTCTCTCTCTCTTCCTCTCCCCCGGTATAAATTATGGCACCTCTCACCTGAAAAATCATGGTCTGACCCCCCGGGCAGGTGGGAGTCGGACAACCACTTGATGGTCTCCGTGAGGGGCGGGGGTTCTACCCTGTCAAGACCGAGGTACAGGCAGCAGTGGTAGCCGTAGGACGTCACCACGTGTTGGATCCGAGGTAGGGCGTCGGGGGGCGGGATGTCCAAGAGGTACTTGTTTTCTGTCGTCTGGAGTGTGATCAAGGATGAGAGGCCCTCGTGTGGCAGCGTTGGGAACATGTTGCTGATAAGGTTGCTAAGAGGGGGGAGAGATTAAGATGAGAGATAATTAAGAAATGGCTTCATAAAGGGATGTCTATAGGTGATTCTCGTTTTTGCTTTGGTGATAAGTAATGTGAGGATGAGGATTAGGGTTATTGAGGATGAGAGGCCCTTGCGTGCCAGCATTGGGAACATGTTGCTGATCAGGTTGCTGAGAGGGGGAAGAGATTGAGATGAGAGATAATTGAGACATGGCTTCATAGAGGGATGATGTCTACAAGATTCTTGTTTTCTGTGGTGATGAGGACGAGGGTGGTGAGCGATGAGAGGCCCTCGTGTGCCAGCGTTGGGAACATGTTGCTGATAAGGTTGCTGAGAGGGGGGGAGAGATTGAGATGAGAGATAATTGAGACATGGCTTCATAAAGGGATGTCTAGGAGATTCCCCCTTTTCTGTGGTGATGAGCAATATGAGGATGAGGGTTATTGAAGATGAGAGGCCCTCGTGTGGCAGCGTAGCAAACATGCTGATAAGGTTGCTAGGGGGAGAAGAGATGGAGATGAGAAATGATTGAGACATGGCTTCAAGTTCATAGAGGGATGCTGTCTACGAGATTCTTGTTTTCTATGATGATGACGGATGTGAGGGTGAGGGTGATAAAGGATGAGAGGCCCTCGCGTGGCAGCTTTGGGAACACGTTGCTAACAAAGTTTATGAGAGAGGGGGGAGATAATAAGAGGAGAGACAATTAAGACATGGCTTTATAGTGGGTTGCTGTCTTCAAGACTCTTGTTTTCTGTGGTGATGAAGGAGGATGAGGGCGATAAAGGATGAGAGGCCCTCATCCTCCTTCATCAGCATTGGGAACATATTACCGACATGGTTGCTAAGAGAGCGAAGAATGTGATGAGAGATCAATTACAGGTCTACACGCAGGTACAGGGGCTTCATGAGGGTGTTAAGACACCTGACCGATCAACTTCAAGACAACCCACATACCCTAACATTATTTTATCATCGGATAGTCACATGTATACAGCCCTTTCTTTGGGATGAAGTTTTGAAAATTCTCTCGGACATGATCTCTTACAATCAGGGTGAAACCTGATTTGAAATGAAAAACATCCTTTCATATCCATCATGCTTAAAACCCCACTGTACTACTTATAGCTATACTTGCGTCCTCTATATAGCAAACAATGCCTAATCGGTGACCATTGGTTCCCCATGATCCCCTTTTTCTTATGTTAATTTAGAGCTGATTTGATGAGATAACCACCTGTCAGTGACCATGCAGGGAGGTCTAATCCCTCCTGGCCAAACTAGTGCGGTGGGGCTTTAAAGTATCAAACCTAAATCTGAATCTCAACATGAAAAGAACATATATGTTTCCTGTCTGGAATCCTTTGAACACATTTTGCTCTCACTTGCAGACAATGAAAAATTAATTGACATCTTAAGTAGATGTTAACATACTCCTGGGGGGGGGGGGGGTGTTTCACAAAACTTGTCATCAGTGACAAATGACAGTTTTTGTTATAAGCTACTGAAATCCTTGCTTCTGGTTGGTTGTTAACAGAATTGTCATCATTTGTCATTGAAAAACGGATTTGTGAAACGGGTCCCAAATGTCTTTTTCACACATGTTATGGCAATATTGCTAAAACGAAAAACTGCTATTAATGGGATTATGTTGACAAGTTGTACCAAACTTTGATGATCCAACCACATTTACATTAATCTTTTCTTCATTGTATTGCTTGTACCATGTTATTGTTGATATATATTTTTGTCATCCGGTAAGACATGTTTTCGAAATGGAGATGTGGAAATCAATGGAGCTGTGGAAATAAAGTCAATTAAAATGAATTCAATTCAATTTTCTTTATTTAGGCAATTTACTAAGTGTACATTACCTACAGCTTGAGAGTTTAGAATAATATTTTGTTCTCTCCTACGCTTGTAACTCTGATTATCAACATGACAGAAAGCAGAGAAAAGTAAGAACAACTAAAAAAAAAAATAATATAAAAATAGGGTAAATGAGAAGATATCAGATACAGCATGACAGAAACACAAGGAAAAAGAGATTGACAGAAAAGGTAAAGGAAATAGAAAGGAAAAAGTGTGTATACAAAAGGAGAGTGTATTTTTATTTTACAAGAGTCATCATAAATGTTGAATTTCTTTACTTACAGATGTTCTAGTTTTTCTAGAGATGCAAATGCCATAGGATGTATGAAGGTGATGCTGTTGTCACTAAGGTCTCTAAAAACAAGTAAAAAACATACAAGAAAGAGTGTTTAACGTGTATTCACAACTATAGTCAAGCGTATTTGCCCGATTGATTTGTTTACTGTTTACCTCTAGGATGCCTGGTAAAGTTGTTTAAAGGTAAAGACCAATTTTTGAAACACCCGCCTCTCAAAAAATGAAATGGAAGCTCTTATTACAAAACATGTGAAAGAATATGTTTTGACTTATACGTGATCATACAAATTTTGCCAAGAAACTGCCTACTAATTGATATATTTGGTAAATTATTATATCTATTTGGACCTGATAGATTTAACGCACGTGTCGCGCACGTGTGGGGGGGGGGGGTAGTCCCATAAATATCTCTATGTGTACAGTGCTTGTAACTTTATCAAGACTGGGCCAAATTTCTTATCATTTTGATGATTCCAGAACCTTGCAATACACACAAATTCTTATATGCTAGATGATCAACCTTTTCTGGTCGATTCCACACCGTTTCTTTCACAATGTAATCGCTTGACCAGAACTCAACTTCATCTTTAAGGTTGGTTTGATACATTCTACCTACTCACAAATACTTTTTCGTTCACACATTGGATGCTGTGAAGCAATGCATTTTCATTAAAGTGACTCGGTAACATTGGCTCAGATTCTGAAACAAAATCCTGGATTTAGCTCATCATTATAAACCTTTAGGTCAGTCAAGAATCCCATGACTTTTACAAGCCGATTGCCTGTCTGATTATCAAGATATTGATGATTGGAAATCGGAATTTCATTTTTAGTTTTCCCCAACGGTTTTTATAAAACTACAGTCTACTGGGGAAAATGAGTATGATAAAATCGGTGACTCAAAGATTTTTACTTTTTTGAGGCACTTCATGATCATTTTGATTTTGCTAAGGGCTTCAATATTACACCATATCACAGACACTGATTTCACGTAGGGCCATGCATCTCAGGTTTAACATTGTTAAACGATGCCTTTAAGCCTTGTTCACATGTTATGCTGTAAAGCAAAGCACTTTCATTAAAGTGACACAATAAGAATCATCCCAAACAATAAAACACAAATAGATGCGTTCATACTCACAGGTAGTTGAGGTTTTCTAGCCCAAGGAAAGCGTCTTCGGGAATCTCTTGGATGAGGTTGGATTTGAGCGTCAGGTCAATGAGATGAAAGAGAGAGTAGAACGGTTGACCTCTGAGAGAGGTTATCAGATTAACTTTCAGATCGCTGTCAAGATAAGAAAGATAATGAAGAGTGACGGGTTAGAACACACAGAGGACTTACTCGAGGGTTCAGCGATACAAAGACGTAACTCCATATTTTGCCCAAATGAGTATTTAATATCAAAATGTTCAGAAAAATGTGGGCTCTCCAGGAAACACAAAGACTTAACTCCACTTAACACCCCATTGAAGTCAATCGCTAGTGAAACATAGACATAACTCCTTAAGGCCCAAGTGGACCTCTATCTTTAAACCACTTTTTCTCAAAATGGCCAAAATGGAGTTACGTCTTTGTATCACTGACCCTTCGTACTATTCTGCTTCATTAACTCAACGACTTCTGAAGTTTTAAAAGTCAGGTAAGCTTTATACAGGCAAAATTTCCGTAGCCAATATGTTCAATTTGCCAACTGAGCTGAGAATAGTTAATTAGATTCTACTCAGAAGGATACAATGCTTGTAAAAATTTGTATTGAAAGCACTAGATAAATCTTCGTCCTCTTTTTCTCCTTCTTTTCCCTCTTCTTCTCCTCCTTCTTTTCCTCCTTCTTTTCCTCCTTCTTTTGCTTCTTCTCCCTCTTTTTCTTTTTCTTTTCCTTCCTTTCCTTTTCCTTTTCTTTGTTCTTGTTCTTCTTGTTCTTTTTCCTTTTCTTCTTCTTCTCTTTAGAATGATCATACATTATACACAAGACTAATAGTCCCGAGGGGTGCGCCTAAACATAGAGAAAAGAAAATGTAGAGAAAAACATTTCTACTCTTTAACAGAGCACTGCAAAGTAAACCGATATAATTCATGTTTGAATCTCTCTCCCTAATCAATTGCTTTAATGCCATGAGTTGATATGCATTGGAAATAAATTTTTAAGTGTTATCTTTAATGGAATATGTAAATGGAAATAATTATAGAAAATCTATAAAGCCTTGTATTCATTGAATTCCATTTTTTAATATCAGCTGCATCCAAAGAATAGCTCAATCGAATAGAAAATTTGTAAGCATTGGATGAACTGAGTCCTTGAAGGAGCTCAATTTGTATTATAGTGCTCCAGGCAGTATATTATAATCTTTACTTAGATATTTATGTCAATGAGACCCCTATAATCCCACTTATAAATTCCATATTTTATATTACTTTGAAAAAAGGGAAATGTAATTTGGTAGCATATTCTTGGCACAAAAATTCTATCGGTATGGGCCCCGTCTTATAAAGAGTTGATATCAATTGCAACTAATTTGGGATTGATATCAATTGCAGCTATGCACGTAAGAAATAGGAGACTGCAAACTTGCGATTGATTTTCATCGCAACTCTTTATAAGATTGGGCCCTGGGGCATTTTACATATGCACATATTTGTCAAATACAAATGAAGAAAAATATAATGTATATAATATCTGTAACCTATCCCCTAATATCTTCAAAAGCCTACAAAAGATAAAAACATAGCACTTTAGGTAGGAACAAAATATTTCGTTTTTTTATGGGGGGGGGGGGGGCAACATGCATTACAATTTTTTTTATTCAGACTGTTTCAGCAACTAACAGTAGTGAAAAAAGAAATATATAATGAATAGATAAGATTTTTAATGTGTAAATAGTGCATTTGTAATGAGCCAAATAAGGTTTTGTTTCAAAGTTTTTAATCCCAGTTTTCATTTTCATGTTGTGTCTTGTCATCATAAAATGACTTAATGTCAGATAAGATGTAGTGTTAAAATAAATTATGCTGCCTCTTTAAAGTTGAAATTATAAATGTGTACAACAGCATTGTTGTTAACTTGAACAAAACAAATGTAACACATATTTTGTATTGTATTTATGTTGATGTTCTGACAAATAAAACATTACAAGATTATACAAGAAAGATCATATTTTACTTACATGATTTCCAAGCGAGTACATCCTGATAGGTCTGGTATTACACTGATCTGATTGGAATGGAAATCACTGAAAAACAAAAACAAAGAAGAAATATATAAGTATATAAATATATAGATAGAGAGAAAAATGAATAAATAATTTGATTGATATGATAATAATCACCCTTATGTATCATGATTAATAAAGAAATCGGGTATCCATTCCTTGTTCCTGTGTTCGGTTTTGCTTTGGAATATCTTTTCATAATCACTTTATCCATTTCTGTTTTATGATTTGTGGATTTAAAAAAAAAGATTCATGATAAAAAACTACTTTAAGAACAGAGAAGAAATACACAATATTTCTGAAATAAAATTGATGATTATATTACTAATAAAAGCCATCGCAAAAGGTAATCACCCTACGGTTAGTAACAGTATGCTTTCCCTAAGGCTATAATGTTCAATGCTTCAATTACACAGATTGATAGAGATAGGGAAACAGACGATGGAGAGAGAAAGAGAGAGAGAGGGAGAGAGAAAGAGAGAGAGAGAGAGAGGGGGAAGAAAGAGAAGAGAGAAAGAGAGAGAGAGAGAGAAAGGGAGAGGGAGAGAGAGGGAGCAAGAGAGATTGAGAGACAGAGACAGAGGATAGAGAGAGAGAGAGAGAGAGGGAGAGAGAGAGGGAGAGAGAGAGTGAGAGAAAGAGGGAGAGAAAGAGGGAGAGGAAGAGGGAGAGAGAGAGAGAGAGAGAGAGGGAAAGAGGGAGAGAGAGGGAGAGAAAAAGGGAGGGGGAGGGGGACAGAGAAAGAAAGAGAGAGAGAGAGAGGAGGAGGAAAGGAGAGAAGTAGAGAGAGAGGTAGAGCAAGCAAGAGAAAGTATAAGTTTATGTGAGTGAGAGGAAGAGTGTGTGTACGTGTGAAAGAGAGAGGGGAAGAGAATGAGAGACTGAGAGTGTGTGTTGGAGAGGAAGAGTGTTAGGAAAAGAGTAAGTGTTTGAGAGAGTGGCAGGGGAAGAGAAAGAGAGAGAGAGAGAGAGAGAGAGAGGGATTGATTTTATTCGCCAAGCCTCCAACATACAACAATATAAAAGAATAACTGATCAAAATTAAGTCAGCTTGAACAGGATAACCCATGAAAGCTTGAGAGCTTCCAGTGGGAGGGAGAGAGACAACAAGTGGGTGTGTGTGTAGAGAGAGAGAGAGAGAAATAAGAGATAAAGCACTTTGATATTGGTGTTTATATGATGGAAAACTAGATCTGAATAGTCATCTAGATAGATGATAACCTGCACTTGTCCCAATTCATTAATATCATCTGAGATGCTTTTAGATGAAGAGAGCCATTAAACCGAAACTCAAAACAATGATGAATGAACCTCCTCTATTCAAGCTGGCATGAATAAATAGAATCCACCTTTTTACAGATACGTACAATGGCTGCCAGGCTCAGTTTACCTATCTGGAATTTCGTAGACATTTTCTAAATATAAAAATAAATTATATAGATCTCTTCAAGGTCTAATGTGACAGCCATAATCAAGGAACTGACTGCCTGACAAGGCACTATTCAATCTCCAGTATGTTGTAGTATCATAATAATTTGAATGCTGTTGCTACATAGTTATTTATTTTTTATGTAAAAGAGATCTATAATGACTAGCATGATATGTTCCCTGTCTGAAATTTTTTGCACACATTTTGCTCTGACCAGTAGACAATGAAAAATTAATTGACATCTTAGGTAGATATTAACATACTCTTGATGCCTTTTTCACAAATGTCATTGCAATACTGCTCAAAAAAAAAAATTGCTGTACAGAAATATTTTTGAAGCACTTTGCTGATGGTAGCCCCTTAACAACATAATGGCTAAAAAATTTGTTATGGAATAAGAAGAACCAAAACAAAAATAAATACAAAAGAAAAAGAGGGAAAAGAGGAAGAAAAAAGAAGAACAAGAAGAAGAAATAGTGGAGGGAAAAAATAAAGGGAAACAACTTGCAGCTGGGTCATCAAAAAGGTGCACGAGTATCACAGAAAAAACAGGCTTACCCGGTACAATACGATAGGAAAGAGATCAGGAAAACAAATCTACAATTATGACCTAAAACAAAAGACACATCACAATTGCAAGGACCTGCAGAAACCCCCTCCATCTCCCCGTAAGTCGGAAACCTAATCGACATAAAATTCCTTTGAACGATCTTTCTCTGAGGCGAGCCAATCAAATGTTGCCACATTGGTGTGAGGTTGCCGGCAGATATTATTATCGACAGAAGTTATTCTCGTTCTTGCACTATTGCATAGAAGATATAGGTTGAAGGAAATGGGATGATAAAACAGATACATGTATTTCTAGCGATCCCAGCGGCATAACTAATCACCGGTTATTAGTCAAGACACCTGTCCTCTAAAAGGTCTGAGGTATCGGTTGCTGTGAGCCGGGAGGGCCTTACATCACCATCCTTTAAGATAAAGTAGAGTTCTGGGCCATGTCTTATAAAGAGTCGTGACTGATTCAAATAAATCACAACTTGAAATTAATCACAACTGTGTATTTAATGATAAAATTGAGTAATTAAAGATAAAACAGGTTATTAATCAAGACACTTGTCTCTAAAAAGTTTGAGGTATCGGTTGCTGTGAGCCGGGAGGGCGTTATATCACCATCCTGAAAGATAAAGTAGAGTTCTGGGCCATGTCTTATCAAGAGTCGTGACTGATTCAAATAGATTGCAACTTGAAATTGATCGCACGTGTGTACTTTAATATCAGAGATAAGATTTGCGAGTTATTACATCTTGCGATTGATTCCAATTAATCACAATTTTGTATCAGACAGGGCCCAGGTAATGCAATTGCAAAATGAAATAAGTAAATGAGAGAAGTGGAATATAAAGAACATGAAAATATTCATGTATTTTGAGCTTTTGAAATGATTAAAATCATATTTAGAAATCAACTAAAATCTTCCTGAAACAGGTATATGAGACTACACGTACAAGTGAAATGAAATCTGGTCCAAATTTCATCTACATTTTTTCTCATCATCGTTCTATTATGAAGGCAGTTGAAAAATAGTGCTTTTCAGGTGACATCATTACAATGATACACTTCCACACTGACATAAAAGGGATATATAA